ATATCTAAATATGCTATATATAGTTTCGTCCGATTTCATGTAAATGGAGCAACATACTTCCAATATTTATCCGATTGAGACAAAATTTTGTACAGCGTACTAAATTAGGTCATGATTAATGAATGCGAAGTTCTGTTGAAATCGGGTAAGATTTAGATATGGCTACCATATATAGTATCGTCCGATTTAATGTAAATAGTGCACCAAACTTCCAATATTGGAACAATTGAAGCAAAATTTTGCACAGCGTACTAGATTAGGTTCCGGCTGATGAATGTGAAATTTTGTTGGAATCGGTTAAGATTTAGTTATAGCTGTCATATATATTTTCGTCCGATTTTATGTAAATGGAGCACCATACTGCCAATATTTATCCGATTGGGACAAAATTTTGCACAGCGTACTAAATTAGGTCATTGATGAATGCGAAGTTTTGTTGAAATCGGTTCAGATTTAGATACAGCTCCCATATATAGTTCCGTCCGATTTAAAGTAAAGTGTGCATCAAACTCCCAATATTGGTTCGATTGAAGCAAATTTTTACACAGCGTACTAGATTAGGTTCCGACTGATGAATTTGAACTTTTGCTGGAATTGGTTCAGATTTAGGTATAGCTGTCGACTGATGTATGGGAAATTTCTATATCTACAGGATATTGTAGATATTAACATGTCTTGCATGTACCCATAGTGGTGAAGGGTACTGGTTTTAGATTGAGATATATGTGACGGTTTTTGAACTTCCCACTGTAAGTGCTGTAAAAGTAATACTAAATAGCAGTGAGTCATAGGATAGAGCTTTCAAAGCCAGAGATATACTACATGTTCTGATGTGATGCCAAATGTCCGAACCTTGACACAATTGAATTTAATATGCCTGATGAGCCGCTTAACCAACGACGAAACGCGTCGCACAAAGGTGGGAATGTAGTATCTCTCTGGTTTTCGTTTTCATTGCAACTTCGATCATGTAGCTCATCTCGAAAGAGAAATTAATAAAAACATTAAATATTCCCTATAATGAAAATAATTTTTATAAATTGAAGAGTTCTAGTAAAAAAATATACAACGTCCATACGATTTTTTTGCGCATCCGATTTCAGTAATCTCCTGTGAAAAATACATCAATCAAAACCTATTTTGAAATGATTGTATTAGAACCATTAGAACCGCGAATGTGTCACCATAACTAATTTCGGATGAAATACGCATATAATTAGCGTGAAGTGTTCTAGTAAAAATCGATATAATAGCGGTAACAAATAATATATGTTGTGTGGGAGTTGCGGTGGTTGTAATGCAAAAAATGAGTGAAAATATGTTGAAGTCAACGAGTTTTTTGGTGTTCTTTCCTGATTTGCGGCTTAACTAAACAATGCATACACACATGATCAGCGACTAGTTTGAAGAATATCCCAAGGACAATGGGGACGATCAACACCGCGTGATTTTAGTTTTTTTTTACTTGACGAATCTAATTAGACCATCCATGTGTCATGCTATGCAGCGTGTGAAGTGTTCTACTAAAAATCTGCATAGCATGACACAGGGATGGGCTCATTATATAATAACAAATATAACGTGAAAATCATTTATATGTTCTTACCATTACGGAAGAACCTTCTGCTGCAACAAATAAAAAACCGCCTTCGCCGTTTTGTGGACCAACGCTTTTCAACACCCATTAGCGTTGTTTTCAGCTGTTCAATACTCTTTTCCGATTAAACAAATACTTCGGCTAAATGACTGTTGCAACTACCCGCATAAACCGCAAAACATCAGCAATGCCAAAACCTTCAAATAAAATCTACAATATACAGCCCGGATAGAAGACATCGATGAAGCGTAACATTTCAATGAGACATAATCTGATGCAGGAAGATTTGGTGTTTTCATTCGACCCTAGGCCATCCAAATACCTGAAGCAAAGGCAATTAGGTGCTAAAAAAAAAGAAAAAAAGAAGGTTAAATAAAGATGTCCATTAAATTTGGTATATATTTTTTCGAGAAAAGGGAAATCAAAAGGAAGAAAGTACCAAAAATAAGATAATGGATAGGTATACAAACAAACCTTTAAATAACCAAAAACTTCAATACAATCAGAAATCATCAATAACAGTTACACGAAAGTTTTCGGCCCTGAAGAGATCCTCCAGCAATTTCGAATGTTTCATATCACGGCAAAATAGCAGTTCAATGTCAATTCACTAGCCAAATTTACACCCATCAACACCGCGCAGAGAATCTTTTTCCGCAGAATGCAAATTCCAAGTAAACAAACCGAAACAAAAAGAAAAATCAACAAATAAAACTTCGTCTTCTTCGATTTTTTTACCTTCAAAAATTTCCCAATGGTTTTTGAAATCAATTGAATGCCACCATTATCACCAACACCATTTGCCCTGTTGGCATCTGCATCGACGGTGGCATTTACCACTGACCCTTTGATGACCACGGTATTTGATTTAATTTTCCCCAGAAGAGTTTTACAAAATTCCTCAATAAATTGTTTTGGTATTACAAAAACAATGATGTCGGCATATTTGGCTGTCTCCACCAAATCTGTACAGGCCACCAGGTGCGAGGGGAGCTTGAGTAGTGGTAAATATTTCGCAATGATGTGATGGTTGTTGATCAATTCCCTGAGTCGGACACCATCGAAAAATTCATCGTAGACAAACATATTTACATGGTCTTCAACATCCTGTAATGTGGCTGCATTTTCAACCACTATTTTGCCCACAGCGGCGTTCCTTTTGAAATAAAAAGGTAATGGGCATTTTTAATGGAATTTTGTAGAACAATTTAATACGAATTTAACATACAAATTGGGTACAAATTACCCAAACCGATAATACAAGTTTGAATTTTTTCCATATTTTTTTTTTTTTTTTTTTTAAGTTTGTATTTGACAACAATTTAAAAGCAGAGAGTTCGTCTATGTTTTACAACGTTACCTATAATCCGACGGGGCGTACAGCAAAAATTCAACTTCCCCACTTTTGCAAAATGTCGTTTACGGCCATATTATATATTACGTCGAATCTATATCTTCAAAAAAATAATACAAACCGCGAAACAAAATTGAAAATTTATTAAATTAATCCAAAAATGTTATGCTCACATTCGAAAGTTCATATTTTCTCAATGTTTTGTTTTTATTTTCAACAAAAGAAAATAAAAAACGCGTTCTGTCAAAGTTGAAATAGTTCGAATGAAATTTTGTACGCTCGACGTACAGGGTTGCCCATATTCGACGGACCCATGTTTGTTTTTTTAAATCAAAGAAAAAAAAAATAAAAATTTGGTGGTTGGCAATGTTAATCATTGCGAAACGTTTCAAGTAGATTTGTTTACATCAATTTTTGAATATGATATCTCTCAAGTGGCCGCCTCTGACGTTGATGATGTATTGTGCCCTTTTTGCTGCATTTTCCATCGTTTTTGCCAACATTTCGGTCGGAATAGCGGCTATTTCTTCACGAATGTTGTCCTTGAGCTCTTCTACGGCCCTTGGCGTGTTAACGTAAACCTTTGACTTCAAATATCCCCACAAGAAGAAGTCAGGCGGCGTCAAATCGAGCGAACGCGGTGGCCAGTCCAAATCACCACTTTTCGACATCAAACGGCCCGGAAACAAATTCTTCAGAAAATCGATTGTTATGCGATTTGTGTGCGGTGGAGCGCCGTCTTGTTGAAACCAGAACTGCCTCATACGCTTTCGACGAATAATTGGTATCACAAAATTGGTCATCATGTCGCGATAACGGATTTTGGAAGAAAAACGGCACAATGACCGTTTTCGCACTAACGCCGCACCAAACTGTGACTTTTTCGTCATGAAGAGGCACTTCTTGAATCTCCTGAGGATTTTCAGTGGCGTAAAAACGGAAAACGGATTTTGCTTATTTACGGTCACATTCAATGTGAAATGGGCTTCATCGGACATGATAATTTTGTTCCAAAATTGTTCGTCATCTTCGGCCATTCCGATGACTCTTTGGGACCATTCCAATCGACGAGGCTTGTCCGCAGGCAACATTTTTTGCGTCAATTGAATTTTTACGGGAACAAATGCAAATCAATGCGAATAATCCCTTGTAAAGTGGACCGAGTCATGCCCAACTTCTGAGAACGGCGTTTTTGGGATGTTCTTGGGGACCTCTTAACACTGTCTCGTACCTCAGCGATATTCTCGGCCGATCGCCTTGGTCGACTTTTATATGGCCTCTTCGGATTAGAAAGAGCCTTACCAGTCGAAATTTTTCGCGTAGCGTGTATTGGTTCATGGTAAAAATCTGCTTGGACTGACGCTTCAAACGCGGTATGTCATTAAGCGATGTGACATCTCTGTCAAAAGTTATGGCGTTGCCAGATGGGTCCGTCGAATATGGGCAACCCTATATCACCCTGTACCACAGTGTAGTGTAGAGCATAAAAATCAAATTTTCACATAAAAAATTCTCGCTAGGAAGAAATTTTCGTCGAAGTTATTACTGCACCTTGTACCCTCCACCATATTGCGAGTGTATAATATTGGCCTACTTTTTAGTATATAACATATATAACATTACCGCCAAAATTTTAGTATTTTAGGAATTTTGGGTACGGGGTGGAACAGAAATTTGCTTTGATTTGGTGTATAACGTCAAATTTAAATTTTCCTCAATTTTTTACCGAAAATTGTCCCAGCTCTATTGTTATTGCTTTTCTTTTTGCAACAATTTACCATAAAACCCTCTTAACTACTATACATGTATGAAATTGATCATTAATCATAATTTGTGTGTACACTCGGGTATGTGTGTGTGGGATTCAGTTAATTAATTCGAAATATAAAAAACCCCTTTTAAAAAATAAGTAAATATGACCTAAAAATTAAACCACAACACGTCATTAGGGTTATTTCTTTGTTGTGGTCAATGCCAATCAAATAATGTACCCAACGCACTCACCACCCTCCATCATGTCACTCTACAATAAAAGTAAACAAAAGCTGTTCTATTTTTTTGTTTGTTTAAATATTTAAACCAAAAAAAGGCATCCGTCAGTTACGAAAATCGGAATTAACGTCAACATCATCAACGACATTGTCGCATTTATTCTCCAGTCATTACATTAGTAGTAGTATGGTAGTACCCTCTAATAGAGTAGGAACCGACCGAACTTGAATCCTCTATGCCTAAATCATTATGTTTGTCCTTCCCTTTAAAAAATCTATGAAACCACAACAAAGGTGGTCCGCATTCATTTGACCACCATTCCATCGTAATGACAATGTAACAAAACAAAATATGTTTTGTAGGTTTCCCTTTTCCGTTGTTGTCATTAAACCAGTAAGGAAAGTAGTAAAGTCGGACGGGGCCGACTATATGATACCCTTCACCACTATGGGTATATTAAACAGGACTATTAACATGTAATTGGATGAAAAAAAATATGTGATATTTATCTAAATGTGAATCTACCTAGATCTATCCATAAAGTATGTTAATCGACTTCAAACAAATATACATACGTCATCCGTTGGGCTATGTCTGTACTTCTAGAAAACACAACTACGTAATTCTATGCTCAATTTTGTACGTTGTGCACAATTTGATGTCAATCTGACTAATATGAGGAATTTGATGCCCAACTTACATGAAATCGGGCGAAAATATATATGGAAGCTCTATCCAAATATTAAGCGATTTCAAACAAACTTGTCACAGGTTAGGTTATACTAATTTCAGAACGTTTTGTTCCTATTGGTTCCTTGGTGCGTCAATTACTTAAAATCAATCTATAATAAAAGGGAGCTATATCTAAATCTGAACCGATTTTCACGAAACAAGGCAGATATCACTCTAGGCTCAATTCAGTACGTTATGCCAAATTTCATGCAAAACGAAAGATATATAGCGACTTTGGTGCACCATTTACATGAAATCGGACGAAACTATATGTGGGAGCTATATAGAAATCTGGACCGATTTACTCGAAACTTGGCAGACATCACTCTAGGCACAATTCAGTACGTTATGCTAAATTTCGTGCAAACCGAAGGATATATAGGGACTTTGGGGCACCATTTACATGAAATCGGACGAAACTATATATGGGAGCTATATCTACATCTGGACCGATTTTCACGAAACTTAGCAGACATCATTCTAGACCTAAATGATTAGGGTGTACCAAATTTCGTGCAAATCGAAAGATATATAGAGACTTTGGGGCACCATTTACATGAAATCGGACGAAACTATATATGGGAGTTATATCTAAATCTTGACCTATTTTCACGAAACTTGGCAAACATCATTCTAGACTCAATTCAGTACGTTATGCCAAATTTCGTGCAAATCGCAAGATATATGTGGTGCACCATTTACAAGAAATCGGACGAAACTATATATGAGAGCTATATCTAAATCTGGGCCGATTTTCACGAAACTTGGCAGACATCATCATAGACCCAAATGATTAGGCTGTACCAAATTTCGTGCAAATCGAAAGATATATAGGAACTTTGGGGCACCATTTACATGAAATCGGACGAATCTATATATGGGAGCTATATCTAAAACAGGACCGATTTTCATGAAACTTGGCAGATATCATTCTAGGCTCAATTCAGTACGTTATGCAAATTTCGTGCAAATCGGAAGAAATATAGGGACTTTGGGGCACCATTGACATGAAATCGGACAAAACTATATATGGGAGCTATATCTAAAACAGGACCGATTTTCATGAAACTTGGCAGATATCATTCTAGGCTCAATTCAGTACGTTATACCAAATTTCGTGAAATTCGAAGAATATATAGGTACTTTGGTTCACCATTTACATGAAATCGGACGAAACTATATATGGGAGCTATATCTTTATTTGGACCGATTTGCTCGAAACTGGACAGACATCATTCTAGGCTCAATTCAGTACGTTATACCAAATTCCGTGCAAATCGGAAGACATATAGGGACTTTGGGGCACCATTTGCATGAAATCGGACGAAACTATATATGGGAGCTATATATAAATCTGAACCGATTTTCCGATTTCCCAATTTCAATAGGGTTCGTCCTTGGGCCAAATAAGTGAACTGTGCCAAATTTCATCTAAATCGGATCACAAATGCGACCTGTACTTTGTTAACAAAAATACATGGACGGACAGATGGACGGATAGACGGACATGCATAAATCGACTTAAAAAGCGATTCTATGCATATTCTCAAAAGGAACCATGTGTCTATCTCGTTTCCTTTTGCCAACGACACAATACCCTGTACCACAGTGTGGTGAATGGTTTAAAAACCCCAAATAAAACTATTTCGTAGGGCGAGAATTCTTCCGTGTTCAAAATCCCTCGTATTAGGATTTAGCAAACATACGAATAAAAATTTGTTTTCACACGTTATTGTTGTTGTTATCACACGATGTTATATTAACATCTTTATATGCATAATTGCTTGCTATAAATATAGAAAATGGTGTTATAAATATGCATTAATTACATACACACAATTCATACGAAATTATTTATGTGTATTGTTCACCAAGCACGTGTGTGCACTTTACCGAAATTCTATATTTGTACACGGATTACGTTTAAATATCAATAATAAACAGTCAATTTAATTTCGGCAATAATGTTAAGAAATCAGAAATATAGGCTTTAAAGAATTTAATAGTTTGGTTAGAAAGGCGGGGTTTTTTTTTAATATTTTTAAAAGGGATTTAAATTAATGTTTTCAAAGGACGTG